GCAACCACTACAGCTCTGTCTCATGCACACCCCATTGGATTGCCTCGTATCTCCCAGGGTCATTCCAAAGTCATTTTAACAGTTGCCAGGAATCGGACCTGGGGCCTTCTGCCTTCAAAGTGTGCTCTCCTGCTGAGGTTGCCATCCATTCAAAGTACTTGGCTTCCCACAAATAACCATGGGAACTGTAGTTCCCCTCCACAGAGCGACAGTTCCTGTCACCCTTAACAAACTATGGTTCCCAGGATTCCTCGAGGGAAGCTGTGTGCTTTGAATGGATTACGTATATGCGAGGAAAGGGTAAAGGGACCCCTGACCATTAGGTCCAGTCGTGGCCAACTCTGGGGTTGCGGCGCTCATCTCGCTTTATTGGCTGAGGGAGCTGGCGTACAGCTTCCAGGTCATGTGGCCAGCATGACTAAGCCGCTTCTGGTGAACCAGAGCAGTGCACGGAAACACCGTTTACCTTCCCGCTGGAGCGGTACCTATTTATCTACTTGCACTTTCGACGTGCTTTCGAACTGCTAGATTGGCAGGAGCAGGGACCAAGCAATGGGAGCTCACCCCGTCGCGGGGATTCGAACTGCCGACCTTCTGATCGACGAGTCCTAGGCTCTGTGGTTTAACACACAGTGCCACCCGCGTCCCTTACGTATATGCGAGCTCAGCAACAATTCAGCAGAATACATAATTCATTTCTAAAGAAGAAACCTTTAGCCGAGGCAACAGGGAGTTAGCTAATGATCCATGGCCAACCAATGGCCTTTTAAATCTCTAGTGAGAACAGAGAGGCAGTAACTAACAGGCCAGATATTAGCAGGGCTGTAAACCTGGCCCTGCATTTCAACTCAAGAGAGCACCAGCAAGTCTTTGCATGCAAAAGGTCCCAGGTTTCAATTCCTAGCATCTCAAGGCAGGGCTGGAAGAGACCCCTGTCTGAAACCCTGGAAAGCTGCTGCCAGTCAGTGTATACAAATGTTGCTCTAGACGGACTAGTGGTCTAACCTGCTGTAAGACAACTTCCTAGGTTTCTGGGATTTCTGTATCAAGGAGAAGGGCCACAGTTCAGTGGCAGAGCATTCTGTCTTTCATGTAGAAGGTCCCAGCTAGGGATGGGAGATATCCCTCTCTGAAACCCTGGAGAGCTGCTGCCAGTCAGTGTAGGCAATTGTGTTCTGGATGAACCAGTGGTTTGACTTGGGGTAAGGCAGAATTTCAATGTTCTTTTGTTCCCATAGGCAGCTCTTAGTCATGATGTACAAGTGCAAGGCCACAGGAACATTCTCTTGATTGATCCACAACCTTTCTGAAAAACTACACGGTCCACAGTTTGAGACTCTGTGGACTACACTGACTTTGGGAAGCAGCCCTCAAGGGTTCAAGAGGAGAGTCTTTCCTACGTCTACATGAGTCTGTTTGGAGGCAACTCTGAGTCTCTCCAGGCATGTGGGCGGGTGGCTTTTAGTAAGCCTGACAGCGAAATCTAATACGAAAAGGTACACACAGCCCCTGCCTCCTGGCTGGCTGAAGCGGTTCCCGTCTGCTGCAAAATCTCACTTGCCAGGTGAAACCTGCTCTCCATTATTCATGGGTGCGCTGCTGCGGCGATTACAAAAACATGGTTATTAAAAAAATTAAATAAAAAAACCCTTCCCTTCCTCCTCCCTGACTCTTATCTCTCTGCTCCCCCCAGCCCTGCCAAGATGCTGGCGCTGTCAGACTCCATCACCCCACTTGGTACAAGTGCCTGGCTGGAACTGCTTTGATCCCCACCAGAATAAAAGGAGAACATTAAAGCAAGTCATCCTGGCATTGCCTCTCATTAATTAACAGCTGCAGGCTTTTTAAACATCTGTCAGGGTTACTTTAACATTCCCTTTACTCTCATGGCTACGTCGAGAAGGCGAATAAATCAAGAGCAGACTCTGCCTTGGCAGGGCTTGGGGTTTTTCGCTTCTGCCATGTTTTCACAGCAACAGTAACCAAAAGCTGGACGCAAAATCGGGTGTACTGATCAAGGCAGCCACCCAGCCCTCACCAAACCTGTGTGCTCCAGATGTTTTGGATCACAATGTCCATCAGCCCCACCCAGCGCAAATGGTATGATGTTGGAAGCTGATGGCAGCCTGTGCTGACTGAAATGAAGCAGACCTTTCTCAGGAACAAGCAGTAATGAAAGCAGGAACTCGTGTGACCACCCTGATAGCAAATCATCATGAATGCATGATAATAATAATAATAAAAGGATATCTGGAGAGGCCCCGAATATGCCCATGGGGCCAAGAGGGTTGGAAACCAAAGTAGATGTCAGGCTTCGGGGAATCGGCTTCCTCCCCACCGTGGCAGTAGATAAGAAGATCAAAGAAAGAAACATCTTACCAGTTAGCAATTTTAATAATCACAGTGAGAGAAATGGCGGTGCTCCCAATTAAGGATACACCTCCTTCCATCCCTATTAATCTACATCACCCCTATGTTTTGTAATCTGAGTTTGTAACCTCTGTGCTTTCTGTTCTGAGACTTTCTGAGCTCTTCGAGACTTTGAGGAATGCTATCCAACTGTGAATCTGTTAACCCTCTCTCTTCCAGTGTTTCTTCACCTAGCTGTTCCCCATCCAGTATTTCCCAGCTTCTGCCTCCTGAACTATGCCCCTCTGCAAACCACTCTTCCAAATCTATACTTTCCTCCTGCTCCTGGGAAGATTCAGGATCAGGGGGAGGGGGTGGTTCCCACCATTCTTCCTCAATGCCGTTCTCCTCAGCAAGGTCTCTGACAGTCGATCCCTATGTTTCACCCTGAGAAGCTTGGGGGTTAACAGCCCTTTTCAAGCTTCAAATTGTAGAGTCAGGAAAGGTTTTGGGCAACCAAAATAATCAAGGGGATGGAACAAGTCCCCCATGAAGAAAGGTTGCAGTGTTTGGGACTTTACAATTTAGAGAAAAGGCAACGAGGCATGAAGAAAGTGGCGTGCTTTAGGCAGATTCACCTTTAAAGGTGAACTGAATCGAAATTCTCCCCCCCCCCAGTTCTATGGAAGGTTTTAAGAAGCATCCAAACATTTTCTTGTTCTTCTGGACATCTGAACGGTACAGCTTTATAATCGGCCAAATTCGCATTGGCTTCCCGCTGTTCTTCTGTTTACTGTGAAAGGATGTTGTTGTTGGTGAGCATTTAATAAAATCCAATATTTCCAGTGTGAGTTGAAAAGGCATTGTGTCCTCTTCTATCCTCCTCTCTTTTATTTATATAAATATTGCCATTGTCTGCTCCTTCAGGGGCCTCCAAACTGGGAACCAAAGGTGGAATAAAAATGTAAAGAGAGCTACACAAATAAACAGAGGGCGAATTTGACAGCTATTTATATGGCAACATGTTTCAGGCATGCTGGCTGCTAAAACATAGCTGCCAGTGCCTTCCAATTATCTTTTCTCTTAGCAAGCAGCTTTAAAATAATCTTTTTTTAAAAAAAAATGAAAAAAAATGAGACAAACAAATGGGCAAAAAGGCAGGATTTTAAGAGATTGTTGTACTGGCAAATTATGCATAAATGCCATGCAATTTAATTTCCAGGGCCTTCACCGGGAATAATACCATCCTGCTGTGTCGTCTTCATCTGCCTCCTAATAAACTGATTACAGGCTAACACGCCAAAGCCCTGAGCACCATTATCCATTATTTAGGTCCCGGAAAAGATAATTAACCCACAGGTCCTGAGATGCTCCATTGTCACACAGACAATAGGCGGCTGCGTGGCAGAAGCACAGCACGCGTTGCTCCTTCCCGTCAACTTAATTACTTGGGCAAAGCGCCAGGCCCCCCCCTCCCCGGCAATCGCGCACCAGCTTGTTGCAACTGCAGCAAGCGCAAGATAAAAAAAGATTTCAGGTACTGCAGGTGTTGTGCCAATACAGGTTGTGATATCTCTGGGCCAGCCACAAATCCAAGCTCATGAGAATGGGAAAGACTACCTTGCCGGGTCGGAAACCAAAGGTCCATCCAGACCAGCACTCTCTTTTCTAGCCCTGCTGCAGCAAGGCAGATGCCTCTAGGAAGATCACACAGATCCATGGAACTCACTGCCACAGGACATAATGATGCCAACAACTTGGGTGGATGTAAGGAAAGGTTGGATGGATTCATGGAGGATAAGGCTATCCATGCCCACTAGCCATTATGGCTATGCTCTGCTTCCGTAGCTGGAGGGAATACCAGTTTCTGGAAATTACAGCTGGGGGAAGTACTCTTGTGGCCCGGGTCCTGAGTGCAGGTTTCCTCGAGGCATCTGGTTGGCCACTATGAGAACAGGATGCTGGACTAGATGGGCAGGCTCCTATGTTCTTCAGTTCTTCTTCCCAGAATGCGGCAGCTAGACTGGTGACTGGGGGCGGTCGTTGAGACCACATTACCTACATTGGCTCCCAGTACGTTTCCGAACACAATTCAAAGTGTTGGTGTTGACCTTTAAAGCCTTAAATGGCCTCGGTCCAGTATACCTGAAGGAGTGTCTCCACCCCCATCATTCTGCCTGGACGCTGAGGTCCAGCGCTGAGGGCCTTCTGGCGGTTCCCTCATTGCAAGAAGCAAAGCTACAGGAAACCAGGCAGAGGGCCTTCTCGGTAGTGGCGCCCGCCCTGTGGAACGCCCTTCCATCAGATGTCAAAGAGATAAACAACTATCTGACGTTTAGAAGACATCTGAAGGCAGCCCTGTTCAGGGAAGTTTTTAATGTGTGACATTTTAATGTATTTTTAATCTTTGTTGGAAGCTGCACAGAGTGGCTGGGAAAACCCAGCCAGATGGGCGGGGTACAAATAAATTATTATTGTTATTGTGTTATTGTTATTATATTCCCACGATTGCCTCCTCCATCAGGAATGGGGAACCCATAGCGCCCTTCCTATGTTGTTGGACTCACACTCCCATCATCCTAACCATTGGCCATGCTTGTGGGTGGCCACAAGTGAAGCATCTACTGGGCTTCACTGACTGGGGACATTCCCATCTCTACCTGGGAGTGAACCTGGAACCTTCTGCATGCAAAGTAGATGCTCTACCATTGAGCTGTCACCTCTGTCTGGTTGTAAATTAAGATCAGTAAAGAGGCTGGTCCATTCAGATAAATGCAGCACTGGCCCATGAACCTCAGTCTGCCCACATCTAGCGTCCACCTGCTTGTCTTCTTACTTATGAGCAGTCCAGAGGGTGGCACTGGCTGTCAGCTGCCTCCTCCTTCATCTCAAGTGTTGCCCTTGCAAAACTCAGCAGGGAGGAGGATGGGGGCAAAACTAGGATTAGCTGGAACTGCTTGCCATTGGCTCTGGCGCCACCTACTGTTGCCCTCTCTGCCTTATGCCCCAATAAGCAATAGTCCCAATTGGCACCAACCATCACGGTTGCGACTCTCACTGCAGTATCTATGAAGGATAAACCAGCAGCGTTCACTCCTCAGGAGGAAAAGGGATGGGAGGATGAAGTGTCCAGGGAAGCATGTCAGCTTCTACACAAACCGACTTTGAGCTCCGATTCAATTCTTTTGTGGTGCTTAATAGCACTTCATGCAATCCATTAAGTAACTCAGGAGACCTTTGTGAAAATGCTCTCGTGTTTCTCTCTGGAGGGAATTCTGAAGCTCTAAAAGTAATTTGCTGCGGGCTCGACAAAGCACAAGCAAAGGAGTCGCTCATCACATGCGCAGGAGGGAAAGAGCAAAACCATCTGCCTTCAAGAGCCTGCAATGCGCCGGGATTAAATGGGGAAAGGGCCAATTAGCTCAGGCCGACACTTTCATCTGTCTCAGATTACCGTAATCAAACACAAAAGCAGTTTGTGATCTCTCCCTCCCCGAACCTTCCTCTGGAAACTCACGAGAAGCACATTGGCTCTGCTGGTGTCATGCAGCGTCAGAGAATGAGGTTGTGATGTCGGAAGCTGCCAGTTCAAATCTCACCACCGCTGCAATTTCAATAGGTAGCCTTAAGCAAGTTACACTCCCTGTCAGCCTCAATCTCTGTCACCACCTGCCCCGCAATATAGGGACAATGACACTGGTCTACCCTACTGGGCTTCGGCAAGGACTTCTGCAATACTCAACTTTCATTCTGAACGTTCAAATGCACCCGATAAAGCTTCTGCATGCAGGAATCCCCAGCATCTCTAGTTGAAAGGACTGAGAAGGAGGAAACGGGAAAGAACTCTCTCTGCCTAAACACTGGGCTCAGGCCTCATTTGGACCGTACATTTAAAGCACTACTATGCTACTTTAGGGACGTGGGTGGCGCTGTGGGTTAAACCACAGAGCCTAGGGCTTGCCGATCAGAAGGTCGGTGGTTCGAATCCCCGCCACGGGGTGAGCTTCAGTTGCCCGGTCCCAGCTCCTGCCAACCTAGCAGTTCGAAATCACGTCAAAGTGCAAGTAGATAAATAGGTACCACTCTGGCGGGGAGGTAAAAGGTGTTTTTGTGCGCTGGTCTGGTTCGCCAGAAGCGGCTTAGTCATGCTGGCCACATGACCCAGAAGCTGTACGCCGGCTCCCTCGGCTAATAAAGCGAGATGAGCGCCGCAACCCCAGAGTCGTCCGCGACTGGACCTAATGGTCAGGGGTCCCTTTACCTATGCTACTTTAACAGTCAAGGCTTCCCCCAAGAATCCTGGGAATGGTAGTTTGTTAGGGGTGCAAAAGGTATTTTTGTGTGTGGAAGTCATGATAGCAGTTTTCCTACCTAAATGCACTGGCAAGTAATTGCATAATTAATTATGTTAGCTTTGGCCACAGCGGATAGTGAATAAACCCTATTTCTCCCAAGAATGACGTCCACCAATTCATGGAAATAACACCCAAACTATGCTGAATCATAGGCAGCTAAAATAAGCAGTTTAGCTTCTGAATTGCAGTTGGCTCTCTCTGTCCAGTGCTGGAGACATTGTCCATCTTTCACACAAACTCAAGGGACTCTGTGACACAGTTGCTTTTAAAAATAGCACCACGAATGGTGGAAGTGGAATTAGCAGCTTCTAAAAATAATCTCTCCACTGAGGTCGCTCTTTGCTCCCTTCAGATGGGCTATGTACTTTACACCATTGCCCATAATCGGCTGTCTGCGGGATTTCTTGCACTGCAGAAACATCAGCAAAAGAGAGGGAGAAGATCCCTGAACAACCACGCAGGTGTAAAGGTTGGACAGCCCCCTTCCAAAAAAATGCCTATTCTGGTGTGAGTCGCACACTGAACTCCTTTCTCAGTGAGAATAGAACAGGTCTTAAAACATTGCTTTGGTTCAACGAGCAAGCTGCCAGATCCTTGTTCACTTTCTCCCACTGCAAGAAAGAAAACTGCATTCCAAAAAGTACAGCTCAGTAACCAAACAAATTCACTGCAGGGAAAAGGGGGCGCCAGACTCCACCCTCAGCATCTTCAGATTGGAAAGATTCCTGTCTGGAAGAGTGAAGAGCCATGACCAGTCACTGTTGACAATACTAGGCTAGACAGATCAATGATCTGAACCTAATAAGGTAGTTTCTTCTGTTCCTTATTCTATTTAAATTCAGATCAAATAGGAAGTTTGGGAAGCACTTTGCAACTGTTCTTTAAAAAAATTGGTGAATGTACTTTTAAAGATTATAAACCACTCTCCATTCCACCCTGATAATTGCCACCTGCCTGGATTTTAACTTGTCTGAATTAATTTTAAGATGTATTTTAATTAATTGATGTCTGTTCTCATGTTTATTGTGTTGTTTTTATGATGTTAGCTGCTCTGAGCTTGGCCTCGGCTGGGGAGGGTGGGATACAAATAAATCATCATCATCATCATCATTTGCCTTTGGCATTCCAGCAATTATCTTTTAAATAGTCTCTAACAGTGTAGCTCCCCATGTGAATGGGTGGCCCAGCAGTATTCTGTTTTCTCAAGCTTTAGAAACATCTTACCCCTCCCTCCCTCCTTCCTCCTCCTCCTCCTCCTCCTCCATAAGGAAACTTCCTTTCTGTTGCTCAAGAAAAGGCTATAGCTCACTGGTAGAGCATCTGCTTTGCATACAGAAGGTCCCAGGTTCAAACCCCGCCATCTCCAGGTAGGGTTGTGAGAGACCCCCTTGCCTGAAACCTGGAAAGCCAAACCCATTTAGTGGAGAACAGTGGAGTGAAGCCTATGGACATCCAGATGTTGTTGGACTCCATATCCCATCTCCCCTAGCTATTGGCCATGCTGGCTGTGGCTGATGGGAGCTGGAGTCCAACAGCATCTTAAGCACCCCTGAGTTAGATGCTCATCATTGATACTGGGGCATCTTCCTATGTTGCCATCCCTGGAAGTTTATTAGAGGTTCCTGAATGTACAGGTTGGTAATGATGAATGTGTCAGTTTGCATTTCTTAGTACAGAAAGTATTGATCTGATGTGCAGAGATCTTTCCTATTCTAATTAATTCAATAGGGTTCTGGAGGCTTCTTCTTTGTGTGAAAGAAGCAGGCAAGATGTTAATGACTGTTTGGGTTATTCCTTCTGAGAAGCTGAGTGCAGCTGGTTTAAACTGGTTCTGTTATCCCTTCTGTCAAGGGATAATAGTCAGGCCAGAAGGAGCCTGGGTTTCACACTTTCTCTTTCTACCTCTTTTTTCCTCTACATGACAGAATGCACTTTGACACACCATTGCCGAAATGTGCAGTCACATGAGTGGAAGTTTCAGGACCAACCGAAGGGATTACTGTCTTCACACAGTGCAGTTAAACTATGGAGTTCATTTCCACAAAAGGCAGTGACGGTCAGCAATTTGGATGGTTTTAAAAGAGGCAGAGACAAACTCATGGAGGTGGCTATCAGGCCTAGCTTGCAGACATCTGGTTGGCTTCTGTGAGAACAGGATGCCAAACTAAATGGGCCACCGAGCTGATCCAGGAGGCCTAGTTTCAAGTTCTTCTGGCCATGCTCTAGGTCCCACATTCTGTTTATATCAAGTGACAGTGGAGCCCAACAGTTCTGGCCAGAAACCGCCATGAATTGAGTCTGCCTTAGGACAGAGGTCAGCAGATTTCAGGCTTGATGGATCCACCAACCAGAGCCAGATCAAAATGGCTACACTTAGTATTATGGCTCAGGGTGCCTCTGAGCAGATACTCAGCCAGGGAAATTGTTTTTAGGCTCAGAACCGATCTCATAGAGCCCTCACACACACAGATCCACTCCTGGTTCCACAAACCACCAGCTTTCTTCATTTCAGCAAACTAATTTAGAAAAAAACACTCTTTCCCCAAAACTCTGCCTATCGACTGAAAATTGCCCTAAATCTACCTGCAGATACCAATCTCCATTCTGCACACCCCCAGAATCCTCTGTTGCAGGTAGACAATGCCAAGATCACAAAAACATTTGTGAATGGTCACTGTGCTGCAATACCTCACATCTAAATTTCATCTGAATTATCACAGGGTGTAGTTTTATTTTTGCAATTCATTGCAATTTGACTCCATGGTATACTTCGCTGCCACCCTGCACTCAAGTGTCTGTATATTCCCAAAGGGAGGATAAAACTTAATTCATCAGATGCAACCGGACTCTGGTCCACAGACATTTTATGTGCCATAGAAATATTGTTGCTCTTGAAGGAGCTATAGAACTCTCCGTGTTGCCTTTCCTGAAGTGTTTGGGGTCCCAGGGCAGGTGCGTTCCATGGCAAGGGCTCTCCTGGAAGGCAGAACATTTGAGCCATGCCGTCCTTCAGGACAGCCTGCTGATTTCTAAAACGACAAAGCAGCTGGTGGGATGCTGCTCTGAAATGTCACAGAACAATAGTTGCAAACATGCTTGGGGAAGTCAACGATTGCTATGATACTCTGGCGATTTAACACCCGGCTGTTGCTGCGGCAACTGCCTCACAGGGATGCAACAAGCACCCAGAAGACCAAAGAGCTCTCCAACCACTTATTTGCTCAGCCTTCCTACGGGGGCCGGAGGAATGTTTACTTTCCACCATCTGTCTCCCGGCTTTGCTTTCAATAGGCCAAGTGACCTTCAGGAGGTCGCGGCACCCTTGGGCTACTCAAGAAAATGCTGCGGCGAATTTTGCATTCTTGGAACAGAAGAAGGGGCTCCCTTTGAAGAGGTGCTGGGACTTGAACTTGGGACATTCCTGAGTATGCAGAGCAAGTGCTCTCTAGGGTTTCCTCTCCCCCACCCCCAACCCCAGCTTGATCTGGAAATGCTGCAAATCTTATGCCTGCAGAGTATGGGCTCTGTCAGTAACCTCTGCCTCTTTCCTTAACTAGTACTAGCATCTGAACTGCAGATTTTTTCCAGGCCTCCTCCCTTCTTATGCCTTGAGAAGAATCTGGCTTCTGGTTCAGGCCAAAAGCTCATCCAAGCTCCCTCTTAGCACACTTCAAATGCCCTCTACTCCTGATAGGGCAAAGACAGAGAGCCAGTTAAGAGTGATGCAGTGGTTTGAGTGTTGGACCAGGCCTGTAAGACCAGGATTCAAATCCCCAAACAGCCATAAAACTCACAGGCCAATCACAGTCTCTTAGCCTAAGCTACTTCACGCAGTTGCTGGGAGGACAAATTTGAGCTCCTTGGAGGAAAGCTGAGATATAAATAAATGTAAGAAATAAATAAAATAATAGGAGGCATAAAAGTTGCAGAAAGGTGACATTTTCCTCTTGCACACTCTAGTCATTTTCCTAATTAAGGTCTTGCTGGTGTTTCTTCAAATATTATTCATGATTTCGCCTGCACAAGACTCTGCCTGTAATGGGTTTATAAGAGAGGAAGGAGGCTTAGGAGTGGGGCAGGCTGAACACACTTGATTCAGTGACCTACAGCCAGAATGATAACTCAACTGACCACAAAATTTGAAGTTAATGACAGCCTTTGAGCTGTGCAGCCATGAAACTCCGGGTCAGTGGATGATGAGAAAACAAGGAGGACCAGAGAAATGTCAAAAGCTGAGAACTGCCGGGGAAAAGCAAATAATGTCAGAAACAATATACTTTGATTTCTCCCCTCCCTTTTCCTCCTGATGGCTCTGTCTGCAAAACATACCACAGCATCATTTTTACACAAGAAAGGCCAGCAAAATCCTCTCCAACAGCATAAGGCGGCACAGCAGGAACAGAGGTGGCTGCCTTATCCTCAGCTACACCAATGGTCTAACTAGCTCAGCATTGACAACACGGGTTGGCAGCTGCTCTTGGGGGTTTCAGACAGGTCGTCTTTCCTAGCCCTACCTGGGGACGCCAGGGACTGAACCTGGGACCTTCTGCATGCATAACTAGTGGTTTATTCCTGCACAATGGCACTTTCCTTAAAAACAAAATAAGATCCTAGTCCCCCTTTAAATAGGAAACTGCCTTATACTGAATTGGACCACTGATCCATCCAGCTCACTGACTGACAGTGGTTCTCAGTTTCGGGTAGGAGTTTTCTGTCCAGAGATGTTGAGCCTCAACAGCAGAGTTACTGTTGCCTGGTATAAACAGAATTATCGAACCTAGAGCATATGCATAAGAACATAAGAAGAGCCCCAATGGATCAGGCCAAAGGGGGCCCCATCTAGGGGAGTATCCTGTTCTCACATTGCCACAACGGGAAGCCTGCAAGCAGGAGCTGAGCACAACATCAGTCTCCCCTCCTGCATCTGATAGCTTTCTCCCCCATCAATTTGTCTAATTCTCTTTTGAAGCCATCCAAGCCAGTGACTATCACAGTCTCTTGTGGGACCGAATCCTACAGTTCAACTCTGCACTGAATAGGTACTTTCCTTTGTCTGTCCTGAATCTTCCACCCAGTAGTCTTGTGTGACTTCACATTTCAGGAATGGTTGTGCCAGCTGCCTTTTACCAAAGGGCTTTCATCATTACAGGTCCCTACACTGAAGACCCCCTAATAAACTTCCAAGGAAGAACTGGAAACGTAAGAAGCTGCCATACTAAGAAGTATGACCATTGACCCATCTAGCTCAGGGGTGATTAACCTGTGGTCCTCCAGATGCTATTGGACTCCAACTCCCATCAGCCCCACGCAGCATGGCCAACAGTCAGGGGTGATGGGATCCAGAGTCAAAAAACCTCTGAATGGCCACCGGCTTCCTCCGCAAGCACCCTGCACTACACCAAATTGGATTGGCTCTCCAGGTTTGCAGATAGCCACTCTATCAGGTTTCCTCAGCGGGGAAGATGGGAAGTGAGGCTAAAAGACCAGCTTCATGGGGCACCTCATGCCCCTGGGCTGTTTCTACGGTCGTTATAAGAATCACCGTTTAAGAATTGGCCCCCAAAGTTTGCTTCCCCCCCTCTTCCCCCCATCCCTTTCCCCTTGTGTGTCATGATTTTTTAAAAGCCTGTTGGCAGGGACCGTATGGGAGCCTTTTGGGCTGAAGAGAGGGCTGAAAATGCTGTAAATAAATAATAATAATAACAACAACCATATGAATAATGTTGGGCATTGAACCTGGGACTTTCAGAATGCAAAGCAGGCACATTATCCTTGAGCCACAACCCTTCCCGCTTTATATAAGCTTCTTTCCTCTCAAATCTCAAGAACCTGTTCTGTTTTGCTGATGGCTTTTCAAGTTGCAATAGCTTGGAATTGGTATGAATGAGAGAGGGAGTCAGATGGGCGGAAAAACAACCTTCCCTCACTCTTATTAGCTTTCATGAACTGTATCAGTGGATTTCAAAACAGTCTACTGCCAGGAACCCTTCTAGATATGCATCTGGCCTAACAATATGGAACCATATTTATTTACGCTTCTAAATGCATGAGAAATCATCCCCACTCTCCCTGTCAACGGTGTTAAGAATTTCGCAGGTGAGCAGATATCATGAAATCCTCTTATCCCTGCCGGATACAGCAGCCAAACTGGGGATGGTATGAGTCATTAAAAACAGCACATTGATCCAAGTCAGATATAATCAAAGGGACTTTTCCTTTTTTTATTGGATTTCATATAATTTTACAAAGCTAAAAATGAAAACAACAAATAAGGCATAACAGCAGAAAAGGAACACCCCATATTCCTCACCCTCTCACCTCCCTATCCCTCAGTGGTGCAGTTGGGACTTGCTGCTGCATAGAATT